GTGGCAAGCTGTACCTCTGCAAAAACCTCCTTCTTGGCTCTGACATTCCACGCAGGTCCCCCATATGTGAATTCCTCCTCTCCCTGCTCTGGCTAAATCACCTGCACACACGAGTGCCTGGCCTACTCCGCTCAGGTTTCTCTACTCCATGCTGAACTGCCCTTTTCCATGGACTTTTTACCTAGCTTGGGCTCTGAGTCCCCAGGCCAGGCCTCCACCCCTTTCATGGGGCTGCCGTTCCCATCTGATTGGGCTCTACCATGTTTGCACTGGCCCACACCCTCTGTGTGAACATGCCCCTCATCTGCTGGGTCTCTGATATCCCATGCTGGGCTGCCTCTATATGTGGGTGCCATCTCACCCTGCTTGGGCTCTGATACCACCTCACTTTGGGTCACTGTGGCTTCTCACTACCTAACTGTGACCCAACTAATGACATTAGTACTGAATTGTTCAGGAGGGAGAAGAACTCGCATTTTCTTTGAAGTACCTATTGTGCAGCCGTCTTTCTGTCTAGTTTTCTCTTTGTTAACATTTATCTCTGAGATATTTAATTCTATGTGAGTTGAACAATTATTTAATATCACCTTTATTAACTTTATAAAAAGCTTGCATTTTACAATCAGGAACCAGGATGGGCTGAAGATAAAAAGTGTCCAAGGAATTGATGCTCAGGCTGACCTTTATTTGACAAAAGGATCCTCATAAAGTTTAGCCCAGCTTTCCTGAAGGGGTGATTCCATAAGGTTTCAGGATCCTGGCCAGACTAGAGAACTAGTGACAGTTAACGTGGCTCATTGGACAGAAATGCTCATATCCAGAGAAGCTTAAGATGTGGGAGGCAGGCCCTCTCCAGCTTCAGTTTGCAGGAGTGGTACCCTTTTCCCTGCCCTTGATGAGGACCCGAGGAGTGAAATCCTGGTGGTGGCAGGGACGGGCATTTTGGGGGATTTGGAGATGGGGTCAGAGCAGACTGTGCAAGATCAACAACATTCCTGGGAGGCAAAGTCCTGAATGAAGTACATGAGAATCTGCTGATGACAGGGATGGAGATTAACTTCTGGGGCCAGAGCAGGTTCACTAGGGGAATGAATTGGCAAGTATTCGTGCAGACAGAGAGGGCCATGAGCCATGTGAAGCCACAGCATATGGTGTTGATAGGAAGAAAAATTAATTTCAAGGTCCAGGAGAGGCCTGTTGAAAATTAGAGCTTCGAAGTGTAGGTTTTTGCCGTATTGGGGTTGGCGTTGCTAGATGGCAGGGTGTTTGCTGTCTTGCCATTGTATATTCCTTCTATTTGCCACTTGTGGTTGTGCTCTGGCATTTCGGATTATGCATGGCTCTAAATTTCGTTCAGAGTTGCCAGTGACCCTGTAGAGACCATGTCTCTAGACAAAGACCACCCTCAATTTTGGAGTGAGATGCCAAGAGCGCTGGGGCTTGAGGGCCTTTGGAAAAGGACATAAGGAGAGACATAGTGTCTGTTCCAGAGGCCTGGGTATGCTGCCAGTGTATACTTCCAAACTCTGGCATGTCATGGGAAAGCTCCTGGAGAGAGTTTCTGGGAGAAAGAAGCCTATGTGGATGGTAGACTCCTACCACCCCTGTTCCAAGTTGTGGTAATCTGTGAAATTAGTCACTGGGGACATTTCTTCCTATAGCATTTTAAGCTCTGAAATGAGACGGTTTGGCTAGTTGGGATGAATTCATTAGCATCTTGGGAAAGCCCTGAGCCTCTTTCTTCTGTCGTCCATCTCACATCCCCCCAGGTAGTGGCTCTATGCGATGGTAAAAATTCTACCACAGTAAGTGATGGGTCTCCCTTTGCTTGAGAAGAACAGTCATCTGCCCCGGGGTTCACTGATAGCCTATGGGGCATATTCTGATGAGATTAGTCAGCCCAGTATTTTCCAAAGTTGTTTCCTTTTTAATGAGGTGGGTGCTTTCTGGTTTGTCCTAGTCCTCCCCACTCCTTACTGCACCACAGTAGCATATTTCACCTGGTAAGGTGTTGGGTTTTGCTGCCCTGGTCTAAGGGCACAGTGGCTCAGGAAGGCTGCTCCAGTGACTGCATTTATAGCCCTGGGATTTTACTGTGCTCTCTGTACTTTGGGGATTTAGGTTCTGATGCTGTGATGGTGCCTATGCTTGTAGTTCTCTGGGACTTTGGAAAGGTGAGCCTTGCTTTTCAGATTATTGTAGGAACAGGGACTGAGCTCTAAAGCTGAGTGAGCAAGGATTTCTATTTACCCCCATCTCCCTCACCAAGCCTGGCTCAGTGGGTGGAGGAATGTACGTTGGATAATATGTCAAATTCTGCAGCCACACC